CTTTTAGCAATTATTTTGGTATATTTAGTTTCTAGCTAGCTTTTTGCTACTTTTAGCTTCAAGCTAGCCTTTTGCTACTTTTAGCAATTAGGTATATTTAGTTTCAAGCTAGCTTTTTGCTACTTTTAGCTTCAAGCTAGCCTTTTGCTACTTTTAGCAATTCTTTTGGTATTTTTAACTTAAAGTTAGCCTTCTCCTACTTTTTGATTTTAGCTACCATTTTGCTACTTTAGCTTTTACTACATTTTACTAGCTTTTAATACTTTTAGCCTTTTTTCCCCCTAGCCTTTTTCTACTTTTAAGAAACTTCTTTGCTACTTTAGAGCTAACGTAGCAAAACAGGACTTTTAGGTAACCCTTTGTCACATTTAGCTTTTTTAATTCGTCTCGCTTTTAACTGACTTTTAGCTGGTGTTTTATCACCATAAACAAACCCGGTATATAGCCTACCTCTTAAGCACCTGGTACAAAAAAAGACATGAACCCAGTATGTAATGGGTGTCCAGTGGATACCAGGTAAGCACCAGGTAAGCACCAGGCTGTAGTGTGGTATTGTGTGATCTTTTCTATACTGTAAATATGCTAAGTGAAGCTCGTGAACTCAAAATGTTTTAACAAGTCCAAATCAATATGAAGGATGTATTCTGATTTGGACCCAGGTTTGAATCCTGAGGTCACTTCCTGTCAAGCGCTGCATCCCTGAACCGACACGCCAAGTGAACACGTGACGAAAGACAAGAATAAGCAGAACAGAGTCAGGGGGTAAGTTTGGTGTAGCAGAGGGTCATCATGGTTCATGATCATTTAAAGCTTTATTGTCTCAGATTTCAATACAACAAGTGGCAGTGTGGGTTTTCATTAAAAAGAAAACAATACTTTCAAATACAGTTGTTTCCTAGATAAGGGGATTTATGGTAGCATTAAAATAGAAGACTCCTAATTCTGATATATGTAAAGGGAAAGCGGATAACTGCGTTTACGAGAGCCTGAGAAAACAGAGACATTTCTTTTTGTCCGTTCAGATGAAAGTTTCGTTTGCACCCCAGTCAGGCGACTTTGGGTGACGTGTCGGTGCGTAAATGATTCATTCTGATGTAAATCCAGTAACAGTTGGAGGGTTAGCGTTATGACTTCAAAGACTCACTGAGCCGATCCTTGAAAACTTTGGACTAAAACTCTTTTAGCCCAAGCAAAAATAAAATAGAAATAAAAAGCTGACAAACACTCAAGCTTCAAGCGAGGGCATTTCACAATGGCGCCATGAAGTTCTATTATAATTACAAAGTTCCACAGGAATTAACAGCAACAAATAATAATAATAACTGAAGGAAACAAGCATAAAGGGGAGCAATTCCACTTAAAGCAAAGCAGAAGGTAAAATAAGTGCAGTCAAATCAAACAACTTGACACCACTCATCATTAGTTCTCATTCTTTGTCATTTTTGAACTTGGTAGACTTCCATCCATTGTTACTTGTGCCAGTCTATACTGGGTCAGTCCATTATCTCGGCAGACAGTTGATTTTATGGCGCCCTTGGTTAAAACAAACAAAAATAACAACAGAAGAAAAAAAAACAGAACCTACGTCTAGATTACAATTGTTGTGCGCTATCTGACCGTATGTACAGAAGAATGCATGCGGAAAAACGGAAAACGGACAAAGAAGCAAAGGTTAGAAGAGCTTGGCTTTCTTTTTCATGTCGTTGCGTTTCCACAGGGGAAGCCTGTCAAACTCCTGGATCTCCATTCCAAAGATGTCAAAGAACGTTTCGGGTGCTAAGTGGCGCTAAAATCGAGAACGGAAGTGGAGAAAACAAAAGGAGAGGGAAGGCATCACTGCAAAAAATGTAATTGTGTAACGTACTGTTGACACAAAAACGCAGGGAAAAGTCAGGAGACAGGGTGATACCTCCAGCCTGGTTCTGTCCACATCCCTTGGCAGTTTAGCTCTCCCTCTACTGGTTATCATGAGCATTTCATAGGGATACACCTTCAGAAGGAGACATCCGTCAGAGAACAAGCTTGAGTGAAAGCCTCAAAAACTTGCACAGCATCTTAACCGAAAATCAACAAATTTGGACGTTTTAGTTTGTTTTGACTGTAAGAGAGGTGGGAGAACAGGTATGTGACAGGAGGCTGACTGGGTCATAACTGGGGAAATGCAGGTGCTTTGGTTTGCACTGATTCGTGTGAGAGTTGAAACATGCAACAAATGAGACAAGAGGGACGAACACGACATAAAACGTATGTAATGGGCTCTATTTTTGGCTGTGTTCAAAATTTAAAGCTAACCAAAATAAAAACATGAGTCATGTAGGCTTTGTTCTGAAGTCGGGTCTCGGGGGCAGCAGCTTGAACAGGGGGGTCCGGACATCTCTTTCCACAACCACCTCTTCTGGGAGGACTCCAAGGTGTTCCCAGACCAACTGAGAGACGTCTCTCCAGCGTGTCCTGGGTCTTCCACGGGGTCTCCTCCCAGTCGGACATGCCCTAAGCACCTCCCTAGGGAGGCGCCCAGGAAGCATCCTAACCAGATGCTGAACCACCGCAACTGGCTCTTCTCGATGTGGAGGAGCAGCGGTTCTACTCCAAGTTTCTCCTGATAACTGAACTTCTCACCACGTCTCTAAGGGAGAGTCCAGCTACTCTGCAGAGGAAACTCATTTCAACCTCCTGTATCTGTGATCTCAGTCTTTTGGTCACTACCCAGAGCTCATGACCAGAGGTGAGGGTAGGAACATAGACCAACTGGTAAACAGAGAGCTTGGCTTTACAGCTCAGCTCCCTCTTCACCACAATGGACCGGCACAGAGTCCACAATATCTGTCAATCTCACGCTCCATTCTTCCCTCATTCGTGAACAAACCCCCGAGATACTCGAACTCCTCCACTTGAGGCAGAACCTCACCCTCGACCCGAAGACAGCAGTCCACTCCTTTTGGATTGAGGGGCCTCCCTGCTCAAGCTGCTGTCCCCGCGACCCAACTTCGGAACAAGCAGAAGATAATGAATACATGGTCATGTAAATGGGAATGACGGTCCTGGAAATCTCAGGTGCTGGACATTTTCTAAATCATAACCGCCATCTGTGCAAGAAGAAACTGGCTAATCCCAACTAAGATGTTCAATAATAAGCAACTGAAAGTCCTTAAAGCCCCAAAACAAATTACATCCACACAGTTAAGTGGACATGTTCTTATATACAACTGAAGTGCAAAAATGTTGTGAAGATGTAAAAAAATACAATGCAATGATTTGCAAATGTCATAAAACGGTGTTTTATTTACAATGGAACATAGTATCAGTCAGTAAAACTAAAAGGTTGTAACATTTTATAAAAGAAAAAAAAAAAGAAGGTAATTTTGACTTTTACGGAAGCGTTGCATCTCAAGTAAGTTGGTCCAAGTGGAACAAAAGACTCTTAAAGTAAGTGGTGGTGATAAGAAACAGCTGGAGGAGCATTTCCCAGTTTATTAGGTTAACCATCAACAGGTCAGGAAGAGGACTGGGATGAATCTCTCAGAAGTAAAGATGGGCTGAGCTTCACCAGTCTGTGGAAAAACTGTTGAAAAACAGTGAAGCGATTTCAGAAAAATGTTCCTCAATGGAAAATCGGGAAGCCTTTGAATCTCCATTATCTCCCGTTCATAATACCTTCAAGAGATTTGAAGAATCTGAAGAAACCACAGGGAGAACATGTAAACTCCTCACAAAGAGGCCCCAGGAGGGAGAACCTGCAGCAGCTCTAACCACTGCTGTGCCATGCTGCCCCCATCAAACTTAACAAGACCATAATTTTCCAGAAAACGGTACGATTTCTCACTTTCAACATTTGATTCCTATGTAATCATAGTACTATTATTATTAGTATTATTTGATGATTACTCTGTTCCATTGTGAATAAAGTATGAGGTTATGAGACTGGTAGATCCATTGCACTCTGTGTATATTCACACTTTTAAAAAACATCCACTCGTTTTCAGAACTGGAGTTGTACAATACAGAACAGTGGTGCTTGAACGTTTGTGAAGCTTTTAGAAGTTTCTATATTTCTGCATAAATATGAGCTAAAACATCAGATTTTCACACAAGTCCTAAAAGTAGGTACAAAGATCCAGTATTACATATTTGTGAGTAGTAAAAGTATGTGAACCTCGGGCATTTTCAATCAGTGGATGATGATCAGGTGTGAGTGGGCACCTGTTTGATTTAAAGAACAGGATCTATCAAAGTCTGATCTTCACAACATGTTGGTGGAACAAAGGAGATTTCTGAGGAGCTCCGAAAAAGAGCTGTTGATGCTCATCAGGCTGGAGAAGGTTGCAAAACCATCTCTGAAGAGTTTGGACTCCACCAATCCACAGTCACACAGATGGTGTACACATGGAGGAACATCAAGAGCATTGTGACCCTCCCCAGGAGTGGTGGACCAACAAACATCACTCCAGGAACAAGGTGTGGAATAATGAGGTCACAAAGGAGCCCAGGGTAACTTCTCTCTCACATTGATGTTCATGTTCATGAGTCCACCATCAGGAGAACTCTGAACAACAATGGTTCATGGCCGGGTTGAAGGAGAAACCACCGCTCTCCAAGAAGAACATGGCTGCTCGTCTGCAGTTTGATAAAGATCACGTGGACGAGCCAGAAGACTGTTGGAAGAACGTTTTGTGGATGGAGGAGACCAAAATAAAACTTCTTGGTTTAAATGAAAAGTGTTCTGTTTGGAGAACGGACAGCAGCGTTGTGGAACATGGTGGTGGCGGTGGTATCATGGTTTGGGCCTGTTTTGCTGCATCTGGGCCAGGACTTCTTGCTGTCATTGATGGAACAATGAATTCTGAATTACATCAGAGAATTCTAAAGGAAAATGTCAGAACATCTGTCCATGAACTGGATCTCCAGAGAAGGTGGGTCACGCAGCGACACAATGACCCTCAGCGCACGAGATGTTCTACCAAAGAATGGCTCAAGAAGAATAAAGTTCATGTTTTGGAACGGCCAAGTCAAAATCCAGATGTTGTGGAAGGACCTGAAGCTGCAGTCAATGTGAGGAAACCACCAACATCCAGAGTTGAAGCTGTTCTGTTCGGAGGAATGGGATAAAGTTCCTCCACTGATCAACAGTTACTGGAAATAGTTGAAGTTGTTGTTGCACAGGGAGGTGTCACACCAGGTACTGAAAGTAAAGTAAACCACTCACAAATATGTAATATTGGATCATTTCCGTCAATAAATAATTGAACAAGTATAATATTTTTGTGTCGTTTGTTTAACTGGGTTCTCTTGATCCACTTCAAGGACTTGTGTGAAAATCTGACGAAGTTTTAGGTCAAATTTATACAGAAATATAATAAATTCTAAAGCGTTCACAAACGTTCAAGCACCGCTGTACACAGTGTCCATTTGTTTCAAATCAAAGCTGTGTGCAGATGAGCACGGAGAAGCCAGCATGCTAAGCGCTAAAGTGACTCGGCAGCTCCTTAAAAGCAGCATGCTGAATCAGGAACTCGGCTGACGCGAGTCACGTTCTACGTTTATTTTCTAAACTTCCTATGAACGATAAAATGAGTACACGTGTTTCAGTGCAGTTACATTAGTCGTCACTGGAAGAAGAAGAGGATACTTGCTTTTGGTTCCAACATATTAGGCATAGATACTCCCCTGTCCATCCTTGCAAGTGCTGCACGGCCATCCCTAATGTGCTAAAGAACAGAACATACACGTAATGTAGTGGGAGGGGGCTGCAGGGGTCATGGCATGAATATGTCCTCTTATGGACGTGGGTGCAGTCGTCACTGGATGGAGCAAGAAGCTTGGATGTGGTTGCGTATCGTGATCGGTATCAAAGATGGCGTTTGTTTACGTGTTGTTTTTATTGTGTGAATGCCGAGCTACGTTGTTGTTTCACTCTTTTATCGTTTCTTTTGTAATCCAAATACTTCCACACACTTTGAGCTAATTGTGCGATCGGCAGTGGTGCGCGATGATTTTACCGTTTCCCTCTTTCATATTATTTTTTTTTACAAATTTTTACCATTAATAAATAAATAATTCAGATCTCTTCAGCTACCTCATAAACATTGTTTTCTTTAAAATCTACTTCAGCTGCTGGCTGTTTTAGTCTTATGTGTCCCTTTTAGGTTTTAGACACGGTCTAACTAGATTTTAATAATTTTGTTAGTTTAGTAACCGTCTTGCTACATTTAGCTAATAGCTACTATTTAGCTAATTTTTGCTTTTACCAACAGTTTTGCTTATTTAAGTTTTTAGTGTCAGTTTAGATCAAATGTTTTGTTTTGTAACATTTAGCTTTAAGTTAGCTTTGGTCATTTTTAGCTACTTTAGTTCAAGTTTTAACTTTTAGCCACTCTTGCTTATTTTGGCTTTCAGCTATGGTTTTGTTATTTTAGGCTTTTAAGCAATTGTTCTGCTATCTTTTGGCAACAGCTTTGCTAACGTTTAGTTACATTTTCACAGATAACTCTTAGCAATGGTTTTGCAAATGTTGCTGTTATTCATAGTTTTTACTGAATCAGCGTTTAGCAGCAGTTTTGAAGCATTTTTGCTTTTAAGGTTTTGTTTTGCTAAGCTTAGCTTTTAACAATGTTTAGCTTTTTTTTTTTTTACTTTAGTAATGATTTGGCTGACATTAACAGGAGTTTTGCTGATTTTAGCTGGTGGTCATGGTATTGTTGACATTAGCATTTGGCAACAGTTTGGATGATTTTAGTGTTTAGCAATGGTTTAGCTGATAATACTTTAAGCAAG